GAATGAGAAAGCCAAAACAGAGCTAAGAACAGAACAAGGGTCTTCTGACAGTCTAGACTCTATGTGGCATTAATCACAAAAGGAATTTTTCTCCATTTATCTTTGATAATGCATTTCAGCTGCTAACTTCACTGTCTGATTACTTAACACTGTCCTCATACCTCTTCCTGCTAGCTCCTGTGCTGCTTATACTCACAGTAGAAAAAAATTTAAAAAAATAAACCTCAGGAATTAGATCACCCAAGTTTATTACAGATCATAGATCTGCAGAGGTGAAAGTCTCATGTAGCATCCTGGTGTGTTACTCAGCCTCTCTAGACGGGTTAATTTTAAAGTGATCATTTAGCACTAACCTAGAAACACACAACAGCCTTCAAAATCAAAACAATTTGTTTAGGCAGGTGGGAAATTAAACCAGTCCTAATGGCTATAATGGTTTTCTGTGAAGGCCTCAGGCCTCATTTTGTCTCTGATAGCAATATAATCTTTTATAGCATCTGTGAAGTTTCCTAATAAATAAACGTTCCTTGTTCCTGGTGGTTGAAGATGCTGTACAGGTGCATCATGAAAGTACATTGACAGACTGTTGGTTTTCAATTCAAGACCTCTTGTCAAGATCATTTTAGAAGATATTTCAAAGGAGTATACAAGAAATAAAAAAGCAATGTAGCTGCAGCAGGGATTTAGTAATAGATTCCCTTGCTGTCTGGGAGCTGTTAGGGATATAAGTTGCATCAGTTTTCCCAAATTCTTTCAACTCCATAATTAGCAGAGCTTGCAGATGTGCCCTTAGTTTGGCAAGTGGGGAGGGAATGAAGGAAAGTAAGAAATATGAAGGACAGAGAAAGAGCAGTTGCTCCAGAATATTTTCTATCGCTCCAGTCACTCCTCACTTATCTTGGTTGTTTTTCCAGAAATGGAAATGGGGTTAAAATAAGGAAGAGAGGAGGAAGATGAATTCCTCACCTGCTAAAAATGCAGAGAAATTCCTTTTTTCCCTAGTTTGGTATTTTTACAAGTTTACATTTCTGTTTAATTTTTCTATGGGAAAGAGAAACACTACTCTTTCCTGCAGCTAATGTCTACTGTGACAGAGAAATAAAATAGGAAGGCAATGGAGGGAGTTAAAATATCCATTTCATTATTGAAAAGTTAAACTGCAATATCAGGTAGGAAATATTTTCTGCATGCAGGATTGTGTCTTGGTGCCTTAAACCCTGCTGTGTTGGAAGTCCTGCCTGAATCAACAACATTTAAAGTTATCCCCACAAAATCCCTGTGAATTGCTCTTCTTCCCTGGTTTATAGACAGACACAAAGACATTGATAGGTACTGAACCATTGCTCTCCCTTTTTTTGGTGATGGGTGTGGCAAAGTGTGTTATTCTGTAATACAATGTAGCAGATTCTCTCTCTCTCTCTCTCTCTCTCTCTCTCTCTCTCTCTCTCTCTCTTTTATTTCATTGCCCTGTCACACAGCTATGAATAATGTATTCCTGCCCTTATGTACCATCCACGCTTAGGAATCCTAAGTTGTTTTTGTATTATGAACTTCTATAAATATCTGATCCCATGGGGCAGCAAAACTGTAGCTGACAGCAAGCATGAGTAACCCCTTAAAAATCATCGTAATGGGAAATTTAAAAGTTGTGAATAATCCTGTTAAATGAAGGAAAAAAGTGATTTATCTTAAAATATGTAGATCGGATGCATCATCTGAGTAAGAAACTGATATGCCTGAATTAGATATATCATAACTTCAAAGAAACTGAGTCAGTAGTTCAGAATGAAGTGACACAGCTTTTAAAGGAAGGCAAGCAACACTGCTTTCCCAAAAGCAATCAGGAATACAAATTGTATACACCTAAATAAATAGTATGAAGTATAAACATGTGAAGTAACATAGAAATAAGAATATCCCTCCCCTTCCAAAAAAAAATAATTTCATCTATTAGCTTTGAAACACAAACTCTGTTTTCTTCAGAAAGGATGCTGGCATTGCAGTAAGGACACACATTTTCCTGTGGGATTGGCCCTGGAAGATCTTTTTCCTGAGTTAATGCAGTAGAACAGAGTAAGCTCGTATTCTTCTCTTCATTTGCAGTTCAAGCTCACTTTTTATTGATGGCATCCTCTTTAATCTTTTTATCTGAAAAATATATTTCTAATAATACTGTACATCAGCTTAGACACTACACCAAGAATTATCTACCTAAAAACAGGCATTCTATTAATTTTAGTAACTGGAAATAAATGGTCTTTCGCTCATGGTACTATGAACAGATAACTGAAATGATCATGCATATTGAGCATCTCTGTGTGCTTATGTTGCAGTATGACACAGAAGCCCCAAGGATGCATAGCGTGAGCTTGTCCTAGCATGAAAGGGATGGCAAGAGGTAACTCTGCTTTTAGGCAGAGGGTACACATTTGACCTGTGTCATTCCTGCCAAGTGTTAATCAGCCTTGCTCTTTAAGACAAACTTGAAGACACCCCTTCCCCGGATTTTGCTCGTGAGTTTGGCTGTCACTGCCATTAGAAATAACCTAATGTTGAACCAGGGTTCTCTGATCATGTCCTCCCTGAAAATGCAGAGTGGTCCATCTCCTTCCTCACTGCAGCAGCCTCTAGTATAGGACCATTATCATGTCACCCCCTCCATTTTTCTCTTTAACATTAAACCACCCCAACTCATTCAGTCTATAATTAATGACAGTCCCTGCCCCAAGCAGCTTGGTAGTGGGTCTGATCAGCCTGATATCCTTACTTCACTATGACAATTTTCAAACTAACTCCATGTGATATTTCATCTGTCTAACACTATTAAAAACGTTTTATATAGCCCTTATGATTGTAGTTCCTGAGTTCTCCACAAACATCACAGTGAGGAAAGGAAGTGCTGTTATCCCTACCGAAGCACAGACAGACCATGACCTGCCAAGATCACACAGCGAGTCTTATCAAAGAGTTAAATGTTGGTCCCTCAAGTTCTTGGCCAGCTCTAGTTGTATGGTATTTTAATGTGGAGAAACAGGATGCTCCTGAAGTGGCAAGCAGATAGGGAAAGTATGAAATCATATGGGAAAGTTTTATTATTTTTTAATAAAATCTCACTTTATTTTTAATAAAGGTAAGATTACAGACATGGTACCCCAGAAAAAAGTAGTTCAGTACCACATTTTTTTTGTTCCTGTCTGAAGTAATTTTAATAAGAGCCCAATTACACCTTGATGTTAGTCAGACATAACTGAGAAGCCATCTAATCCTCATGTGCCAAGAAGTTTGCAATTAAATTATATTTGATAAGTGTTAGGTTAAAGCAGAAGCACGTGGATAAGAAACCTAAAATTAGATGAGTAACCCTCAGTTTTGTTTCCCAGAGCTTGCTGCTGTGTGATTTACTTTCTACTTCGTATTGAATAAGATGTGTGTTAACAGGTGGCCCACCAGTGAAAATCTTACCTGCTCTCCAACAAAGAGAAGCTTTCTTTGTTTAGCCTTCAAGCAACACAGACTGTCAGGAACACAAACATTTTTAGCAATGTACACATACACTAGTTCAGAATGAACTTTTTGCATCTGTGCTATTAATAGATGTATAAAAGTACCCTTTTGGCACTTTCAAAGGGTAATAATTCTGATCATGAAAATACCAAGACAACATTGATTCTGCTAAATCTGATTTTGCTCTTTACAAATGCAGAGAAGGGGAGGGGAGAACCACCTTGGTTCTTGCTTGAAACAACTTTACTTAGTCCCAGATTAACTCTTAAATCTTGGTTTATTTAACTCACTGAATATTTTCCTGTAATGAGAAGAGATTATATTGTAAAATCTCATCAAAGGTCAATTTAGAACCTTCTAAGCAAATAAACGCAAAATAAAAAGCATTGGAACTGTTATCTATCTATGAGCTTAACAAAAGATATGCTAGCTTAATTTGAGCCAAGGGAGCTGTATGGAGATTGCTGGCAAAAATATGCTTCAGTAGAGCCAGAACCACATGTGGCCATTCCACTTTAATTGTGCTTGTTTTAAAAGATAGGTCTTTAACATTTACCCTCTCCGTGCTTGCTGTCTCTTTATGAACTGAAAATAAAAGCTCCCCAGGCAGTCATACTGAGACCTCAAGCCTAAAACTTTTCAGCTGAGTCAAAAGCAAAACCTGTGCTAAATCTGCCTCATGCATTTTTTTGTAGCCATAAGAAGACTGGACTTCTGTGTTGGTTTTTTCCCCAAGTCCCCAGGCCAGTCCTAACCCAGGGAGCTAGTGTTATGACACGAAGTGTATCTATCTCCTTGGTGAGGTCAAAGGCAGTGGCAGCACTGCTACTGGTTCGAAGGCAGCCTGCTGTAATATACTACAAAACCCGAAAGTGTGCTCAACAATAACAAAAGCATTAACTGCTGACCCACAGCTTGGTGAAATTCAATCCCATCATTAGGCAAACATGAAAATGAGATCCCAGAAGGAAGGTTCAGATGTTCAAGACCAGAGAAATTGAGTGAGGAACACAGATATGGAGATGAAGGTTATTGCAGACTGAGGAGAGAGAGGGGGAGGTTGCCAGTCCAGCAGTAGGAACTTTTAATACCATAAATTTCAATGGGCACTTAGCTGTGTTTTTGCTCCACTTTGGAATGAAGCAAACTATAATGATTTATAACAAAGATACCTTTCACCATTTTAAGGCCATATTTAATGTGATATAATTTGATTTTTGAGGGGTTGCTTCAGTGTTTCATGTTTCCAGATTTGCTTTAAGTCAAATGCTTTTTGTCAATGGGTAGATGCTGACCACAAGGCTAGAATGTTACAGGAACATGAAAAGCTAAGCACCCAAGTCTGACACAGTTTTCTTTTGTGTCAGATGGTTACAGATTTGCACCACTGTAACTAAGTATACTTCAGTGAGAGTCAGATGACCAACTCATGTGCACCCTAGAAAATACCAGTTCTGCGTCTGTATGCTGTAAGGATTTCTGTGTGCACTCTGCAGCCATCATTGGAGCCGGGGGTACTGGCAGGACTGCACGCTCTCTCAGTTGTTACAGTGTATTGCTTTTTTCCTCAGAACACACTCACTGCAGATGACCCTTCTCCTGAAGACAGCTTCACCCTGAACCCCAAGGACAAAAGAGAATACCCTGATCTCCAGGCTGCCCACCGGCCATTCCCTAAGCAGCGATTTAGGCAGGAAAATGGACATACGTCCTTGCAAAGAGATGGACCCAGATCTTTCCTCCTGGATCTCCCAAACTTCCCTGACCTGTCAACAGCAGATATCAATGGGCAGAATCCCAACATTCAGGTACAAATTTGTGTTAATGTGTGATTGTTTTTATGAGTTACACAAATTATTTTACTGAACCGAGAGAACTTTCAGCTTGGCTTCCATGACGGTCAGAACACCCTCTCTCTCTACCAACAGCACCAAGAGAGTATGTATATAATGTAATATACATTATATATAATATTTAATATATATAATACCTATTATATACTTTTTGTCTTAAGGCATAGGTTTCAATTTTTTTCTGAATTTCTCTTTGGATAGTGTCAATTGCATAAGTGTGGGTATTTAGGATACTAAAGCCATCTCTCCTATTGCCATTTTAAAACATATTCTCTTTCTTGATATTAAATGTGTATTTTAAATTCTGTTTTTAATTCTCTGTTGCAAAATTTGTTTTTGAACAGATTCTCTTTTGGTGTCCTATTACAAAATGAAAGGTCCCCAAATTACATCCCCAAAGGTTATAAGAAAACAAGTCTTTAAGTTTCAGCTCAAAATGCGGTTCTTTGTATGAAACTGAGATTTAAAGTTAATTTCTGCAGCAGCTGCCTGGAGTAAAAAAAAGTTTTCTGCAAGAAACTTTGTTATATGTTATTCCTCAAACTGTTCTTGGGTTTGGAATGGCCTCTTACATCTTGAAACTTCAAGGATTAGAAAGAGGAAAAAATGTGTGATTTGTTTTTAATTCAGAGCCCTAAAGCAAAATTGGCATTAATAAGCAGTCTTTTCTAACCAAAACAATAAATTGAAATGCTGTTCTGCCTAAGATGTGCTTACAAAAAACAATACACTCATAGAACTGGTTTTCTGGTTAAATTCATTTCTGGCTTCCCCAGCTCACGAAATTATCATCATTTTGATATGTCTAAGAAGTATGTATGTAAAGATAAAATAGATCTATTGGTGAGAGACCAACATGATTGGGCAAGAACAAGCTGTCTCCAAGTTTGCACTCCATTATGTCATAGATGGCTTGCAATATTAAGAAGCCTAACAGATTTGGATCCAATACTTGACAGGTCAAGGCAGTAAACATGTTCAACATGTGGTGACTATACACATCCCTCATGCTAGAAGAAGCCTTCCAGAAAGCCTTAGGAAGGGAAAGTAGGGAAGTTGTAGGGGCCTCTGACTGTGGCATGAGGTAAATAGTGTAACAAACATCATTGTCTGAACAGCATGTAAACTGTAGAGGAGGACAGGAGGAAACAAAAACCTTCTCTGATTGGTAACAGCATTAAATGCTTAGACTCAGGGAACAGATAAATGAGATGGAAACATTTCCCTGGCTTGTCTTTATAGTAACTGGTTCTACTGGGACCTCTTTTTCCGCCACCTGATCTTGGGAATGTGTCAGCCATCTGTGTCAGCAGTTTTGCTGGACTCTCAAAACTGGGAAGCATAGTCCTGTAAACTGGAAAACATTGGGCAACATTAATGCCAGAGCTCTTGTGCACATGGATTATCTCTTTCAGAAACTGGCTCCTTAAGTTCTACTTTATATTTAGTCTGCTTATTTAGGTGCATAAATAAGAATATACAAAGCTGCTTTAAGTTCCTGGCTGTCAGTCCTGCAGCAGATGAGGCCTCATGGAGATAAAACTCCCATTAATTCATTACAGAGTCAATGAAACTTTAGTTCTTTGCCTAAAGATTGTAAAAGTTGGACTACTCTTTTGGGGAAAATGGAATTCTAGTGAATTCTTGCTCATTAAACAGTACCATACTGACCTGAATGGAAATAATGACACTTGCTGACTTGCAAATTTCTCATCAGCTGTTTGTCAGGTGTGAGCAGAGTCGATGCTAATTTTTCTTTTTGCACAATGGCTTTGGGCTCTGTAAATTAGAATCCTAGGGGTGTTAATTTAAAAGTCCTCCTGGGACAGTAAGGTTGGAAAGGAGAAAAAGGCCTGTGTGTGTTAATCAAGCACAATGGCCACATTTACTTATCAAAGACCCACATAGTTAAAAATAACATTTTTAAGAGAAATTATACATGGAACTTTTTAACCTAATAAACAGACATAAAGCTGAGCCTTAAAAAAACAGGTCAAAAAGATACTCCAGTGAGTTCTCTTTATGGCCATTCCTTCTCTGATTTCCTGTGAGATGGCAATTGCTGTATTGTTTGTGTGCTCTTTCAGTGAGGAAGTGGTGGCTATCAGAACACCATCACAGGAATTCAGAAAATTAACTTGTCCCCAGGTACTGCTGTATTTATCAGGTGGTAATCAAATACAAGTATAGTGGTCTGCCCTCTAGAAAAACTGAGGAACAACAGTCAGAGCTGCAGTAATCCAAATGCAATTTGACTCTGCATGCAAGACCAGGATGACACTTACTGGTCTTTTTGTGGCCTTCTGGTCTTGTAAAACCTCCCATCATTTCAAGTGGCATTTTATGCTTTAGCATTGCTTCCACCCTGGTTGGTTGAGTGTAACTGCAGTAGCTGCTGTTGAGCAAAGGCTGGCTGTTCTGTTTGAGGTATTTTGTTTTGTTAATTTTTTGTCATTTTAGCAATTCTGTCAATGCCTGGAAGACTTCTGAATGAGAAGGTGATTACAAAAACTGATCAAACATTTTCTTTGGCTTTTCCTTTACAAGTGGAAAATTCCTGTTGTGTAGGTTTGCACTCATTTGATGAACTATCCACTGGATGCCTATGCAGACCTTGTAATTGGGCAGGTTAACAGAATGAACTCATATGGGAGGTGTATAGAAACCTGCTTATTTTCCATTTCTGATGGCTTTTTCTCTTCTGTTCCAACCAGCCTTCTACAACCTCTCAACTCTTCTCTGCAGCCATTCCTCTGTTTGGAGCCAGGTGCTTCAACTTGCAATTGAACTCTTGCTCTTGTCTCTACTGTTATCTTTTTACTCCTGGTTTCCCAGGCTTGTGTCCTGTAGCAACAGGTGTTGTGCTGCTCTCTGTTGTCCCACTGCTTTCCTAGCAGTGCTCGGCACCATGACAAATGAGCAGAAAAGGAAAAACTCCTTACTGTTTTTCAGGCAAGGGCATTTTGTTGTTATTAATGCTCTTCAGAGAACTTGAATCTTGATCAAGCTTCACAACCATTATATCTGAAACAGCTGGATGAGTTCCAGTTGCAATGGATGTGTTAAACATTTTTGATGAAGAGACAGATTCCAAGTAGAAACTGTGCAGAGTTTGGTAGGATTCCTGTCCTAAAAACATGGTGATGTGCCCTGGAACACTCAAGTAAATAATAATATTATGTATATTATTATTATATTATTATACATATTATTAAATCTGTTGTGATTATTATTCTCACTTTGAGTCACAGCACTGGTAATAATTGATGGGAGTGATTTTCAGCCAGAAGAAGTTAATGCTGCCTGCATGGCAATGTGTTGTCTTTATCATTTTGCATGAGGCCTGTGGGCCATATCCACCAGTGCTGCTGTTTTAGCTTTATTTATTTTCTTTGATATCTATTCCATTTCTACCTTCTCTTAAAAAAAAGATCTACACAGAGCCACCCACTCCAGGAACATACAGAACTACAGAGAAACAAGGCTGTATGATCTGCTTTTAAAAAAGAACTGCATTCTTCAAACCAATTCTTCTCCAGGTTCACCCATAGCCATTTTTTTCACCTCCATCTATATCACATGTCACTTTCAACACATTTTATTAGATGTATTTTTAGGTAACGTTTGTATTTGTCCTTTGAAGCTGATGGTTTCACTGCATTGGAAAGCAACACCCTCTCTATATCACCACAAAAGACAGCAGTATCTGTAATACTGAGCTCTGACATACACATCTCATCCTAATTTAGCACAGTAAGAACTGGAAGTCTCCAGTAGTGCTTAGTTCTTGTAATGCCTTTAAGTCTTAATAGTTAAAGGTAGCAGCAAAGCAATTGTCCCCATCATTAAATTAAGACCCAGCAAAGCAGAGAGCACATGTTCATTTTCTTGGTCCTTGAGCTGGGTTTGTACCATGGAGAACTCCCTGCTCCAGAGACCATCTTCCTGGTCAGTACCCCTGTTTCCCAGAGCCAGCTGCAGCACTGGAAGGACGGCATAGCCACACAGAGAGCTAACTGGCCCTCCTAGCAGGCTGGAGAGACTGGTCTAGGCAGAGCAGGGTGCCAGAGGGATAAACCACCTTCAATACATGAGGAAAAACTTTTTTACTGTAAGGGTTACAGAACACTGAACAGGCTGCCCAGAGAGGTTGTGGAGTCTCCTTCTCTGGAGACATTCAAAACCCACCTGGACGCGTTCCTCTGCAACCTAGTCTAGGTGATCCTGCTCTGGCAGGGGGGTTGGACTGCATGATCTTTCAAGGTCCCTTCCAACTCCTAATATTCTGTGATTCTGTGAACGCCAGGGCTTTTATTACCTCTGCACAGATTTCCTAATGCCATGGTGTAACGAGAGCTCGCTCCAGAGTGCAAAATTCAGAGCTGGGTTTCAGACCAGATTTTTAGTTCTGGGATTCAGTTGGGCCTATAAGAGAATGCATGTTGTCTTCTTTGCTCCCAGAAAATTCGAGGATCATTCATCAGGTCCAGAAAACTGTTTTAAGTGAACTGTCATGACATAACAGGAAGTACATTGGTGTCACAACAGATATAATTTTAACTGAAGTTGTTATGTAGTGTAAACCTAAATTTACCATTTCAGTGCCTTATCACGGAATCACAGAATACAGTTATTGCATTGCTAACTTGCACATATCTACCTTTACAGAACAACAAGCTCTGTAGTGGAAATTTGCATCAGTTTCATGAAGGAAACAGAGGATAGAAATGTCATAGAATCCACTGCTTGCATAATATTGCAAATTTAGTTCTTCCTGAAACGTAATCTTCCAGTTGCTTAGGGCAATGTTTACACCATTAAAGTGAATTCAGAAACATTGTCTCAGTAAACAGAATGAAGTACAAAGAACTTTTTGTGCACTCCAACAGGCAGGGATAATATTTATCTTCTGTATATTTTTGGCCAGGAGAAAACTGGATGTTGGTGTCTCAAGACATCTGTGCTTGATACATTTGTTTCATTAGAATTTGACTGCAAATCTGTTGTTTTAATGTACCTGTGCCAATTGTTTTTAGCAGTTTTTAGAGAAACATCTTTATTTATAGCTCATACAACCATAACTGAAACGGCTTCATTTTAGGTTTGAATACTTCTGGAGATGACTATGGACTTACACAAAAACCATGTTACCACAGAGATTTTGGGAAGCTTAAGAAAAAAAATAAATAATCTTTACAGTTTTGTAATCACTGGAAGAAGAAATCAGAGTATATTAAATCTTTAAAACAGTCTCCAAGATAGAAATACTAAACTAGGTCTATTTTTTAATTTTTGAGAGAACATGTTTTTGTTGGAGTAGTTACACAGCATGAAAGCTTTGCCAGAGCTGCTTTAAATGCCCATTTTTAATGACTAGTTCTAGATCTGATTTCTTTTTTCCTTTTTATTAAAAACACTTATATAAAATGATCAAACAAGATACATGTTTGTGTATTGTGTGTAGTATATGTACTTGTATAGTCTTGGGCTAATGTTGAGGATGTCTCTAAGTACTGGGAAGAATTCAGTGTATGCTGATTTTTCAAAATTTTACACATGCATAGGGGTGGAATTGCTGGCCCAAAGCAGCAGTCCCTTCTCACCCCTCTGCCCTAATCTTTGGGTCATACCATGGAGAGATTGCTAGAGGGATTGCCCCTGGAAGGTGCATTAAAGTTAAATGGGGCTGGGCAGAGCATGGGCAAGTACCTGAAAACAAACTGAACCAGACTCCACTGAAGTTGTCTACTTTTTTTAATTTCCAAGAGTGACAGTTCAGACAATCCCAGGATTCTTTATAGAATTTCGTTCACTCTGTAGTTTTTGTATGCCACATATTAAACAAACAACTTGTTAATCAAAGCTTAAAACAGGAGAGAGAGGCATACAGGTGTGTTTGTCAGACTACCACATTGGATTTTGCTTCTGTTATGTTCATTTCTTAAATAGGCTATTTTAAAAAATCCTGCTTATGGTGGATCTCTGTTGACGCCTCCTCTCTCCAGACCTCTCTTCTCTTTTAAGACAAAGGGATAATTAATTGTAGTAAAACCTCAGGCCTCAACTTCTTATCTGGTTCCTGGGTGACAAAGCACCATAGTGCTGCAAAGTGAGTTACAGTCACACTGAAGAGGAAAGAGAGAGGAAAAACTCTTTCCCCCCCCTGCACAGGTGTCCCAGGTGATTTTGCCTGCTTTTGACAGGCACACGTACCCAGGCCATTGGGTCACCCCAATGGATTGTGGCTTCCTGGTTTGCTCCATGTCAGTGAGCTGTAAGCCAGATGTAAGAGGGTTTTGTTGCAGGGTGAGTTCTTGTGTGTTGGAAAACTCATTTTAAAGGCCTTTGTAATAAGCCTCCTGGGTAGTAAACACAGACTGAAGCAGGATATCCGATTGCACAGACGTCTTGAAAGTAAGTTAGTGGCAGTGCTGCTGGGGGTCTGATGAGGTCTCATGAGCCTGGAAGTTGTGTGGTACACCTGCCTCTCTTCCCCAGTGTAGCACAGAGCCCAACAAAAATGACTGTCCTTACAAACCTTCTTTTACTTAAACTGACTTCGCATGCTTAGTAAGTTTTTTAAATCAAATCCCTATGGCTCTTCAAACTGTACCTGGCTGAAATAATGTGAGTTCATTCTGATTCACAATCATATAACTACAGTTTACCAAAGCAAATGGATGATTATCAAGTGCTCCCTGTCTTTTTTAAAGAGAGATTATTTTTTTACCCATTTTCCTGAGTCATTGCTTACAAAGTTAATGCGGTCTTAAAAATACTTGCTACTAAAGTACTAGAATCATCCTGATTTTCACATGGGCAGTACTAAAGCCCTGTGAGTGACCAGCAGTGCACAGTGTTAGCTGCTTAGTAAATCTATTTCCTTTCACTTATTGTGAAAACTCTGTTTGGCTTGGATAGATGCAACAATTTTGAATTCCTCAACTAGTCGTTATGTTTTCAAACTTATGAAATCCATTTTAATTCTTGGTCTGTAGAAACTGAGGTTTAATGGAGTAATCATTCCAATTCCATATTTAGTGTGGGAGTAAAATACCTCTTGTGTAAAGAAGCTATTAGGCTGACAACTGCAGTTTCCCTCACTCTTGCTCTTTCTCCCAGTGGAGCTTCTTTGTAGCCTCAGAGTTGTTTCATTTCAATGGCTTGGTCTATGGTCAAATGCAAAGCATGAAATAGATGCAAAATCTCCTTTCTCCAAGGATGTGTGGGTTGTCTTGTCTGTGCAGCCATGTCTGCAGCTATGAAGCTATGAAGCAGTTGTGCTTTGCTTCGTGTGTCACACTCCTCTGAATCACAGGAAGCTGAAAAACACAGACACTCCTTTCTTTCTCTGGTGTGTGTCTTGTGATTTTCACAGAATCACAGAATATTAGGAGTTGGAAGGGACCTCGAAAGATCATCCAGTCCAACTCCCCTGCCAGAGCAGGATCACCTAGACTAGGTTGCAGAGGAACGCGTCCAGGTGGGTTTTGAATGTCTCCAGAGAAGGAGACTCCACAACCTCTCTGGGCAGCCTGTTCCAGTGCTCTGTAACCCTTACAGTAAATTTTGCTAATGACAGTTGTATAAAACTGAACTTTTTATCCAAAATGCAAATCCATAGAGCCATGTAAATGTATAAAACATGGAGAGTATCTCTGTACCTTTTAAACATGATAGGTATATCTGATAGTCACTTACGTGTCATTGCTTTAACTTCTGGTCAGCCCTGAAGTGGTCTGGCAGTTGGACTAGATGATCATTGTAAGTCCCTTCCAACTGAACTGCATTAATGTGAAGCATCAGAGCATTTCATGACTTATCTGTGGCCACGCTGTGCTTGCATGACTCATAGAGCCAAGGGTTTTGATGGCTAGTTCCTATTTCTACCTAAATAGCCACCTATTGCATGCACAGTATTTATTCGAGTTTCATAATTACAGATTGTTCAGCACAGAAAAGGAGTAATCAAGGGTTGTCCCTATGCAAAATTATATTTACATTTATGATGTTTGTGAGGGCAATTGGGAAGAAAACTTGGAATCTTGGCTCTGGGCTTCTGTGGAAACCATAAATGTGTTGTATATCATTATACTTTCCAGCACAGAAAGAGGACCTACTTCAGAGGGCTTAGGAGGAAGTGACTTACTTAGCAATGGCTGAAAGAGCAGCTGCCTCTCATCACCACAGAGTGGTTTCATGTAGTGGTGACAGCCCAGGCTGTTGTGTGATGGAAACGCTGGTGCTGCAGGAAGGCATTGCAAGGGGATGGGCTGAGCTGCCACTGGAGGGCAAGGCAGATGCAAACCCACATTGGCCCAGCAGAGACCCTGGACTCTGTGTCTTCCACCTTCGCACTTGTGGACTTATTTAGTCCTGTCTTGAATCAGTCCAAGTCCTTGAAATGGGCTCTGCATGCTGGTGTCCTCCATGCTTGCCTCAAATTTAGCCTCAGTGTAATTAGCGTAACGGATTTGGTGTTCATTTTTCCCCCATAAGGCAGAAAATTCTCCTGCAGAGGTTTTAGGCAAAGCATGGGTTATTATTTGGTGCCGGACTTTTCCTAGCCTTTGTTCCAAGGTCTGATTCAGCAGAGGTAGCAGAAGGAATCACTCAGCCGCTGCATATCTCTGGGCTCAGTAATCCACATATGGTTTACAACATGCGAACCGTACAGTGTTCCATAGCCTCTTTGCAGGGCAACAGCAGTCATTTATCTTTGCGGTATAGAAAGTTTCCCAGTGACCACAAGGAGATACTGATGGACAGGCTGGTCTGTTTTGAATCCCACAGGTTACCATAGAAGTGGTCGATGGCCCCGACACTGAGACAGATAAGGATCTGCAGAAAGAGAGCAGCAAGCCTAGCTGGCCAGTCCCATCACCTGACTGGAGAAACTGGTGGCAGAGGTCCTCCACCTTGACTCGCATGAGCAGCGGTGACCAGGACTACAAGTATGACGGCACTACTGAGGACAGCAACTTCCTAAACCCTCTTGGTGGGTGGGATAGTCATGCACCCAGTCACCGGACATTTGAGTCCAAGGAGCAGCCAGAGTACGGTAAGTTTGCGTTCCAGGCCTCTTATGGGCATCTTGGGATTGTAAAAACGAGTTTGAGGGAAATGAGAATGGTGAGGCATCGCTGAAAGTAGGCCAAGCAAAACAGAATTTTTCAGCATGTGGCTTTTGTTCATCAGCTTTTAAATACAAATCTGTGCAGATGCACAAGCTGTACCGTGGTAGCTGCATTCCTCTAGTAAGTCTGTAATCTTGAAAATCATACCAGTTATCCCATAAGAGGACCTTTTTTTAGTCCTAAGTGTACTTTTTTTAAAAGCAAAGGAAACAAGGTTTCATATTTATTTTTAGAGTAAGGAGAAGTACAAATTTAGAATTGTGCAGTGGTTTGGGAACTAAAATATAATTACTGGATAAATATGCAAGATCTAAAATGTGGTAGTATTTGGTGGATACACAAATAAGATGAATTATGTTGGTGCATGTGTGGGGAGTGTCATATGCAGCAGGAACATTGTGTATTTGCATGTGTAATTCTCTTCCAGATGTGTCATGGAGAAAACAATTGTTTTCAGCTTGTTGTATGAAACAGTTGCAGAAACCAGAAACAGAGGAACTACAGTTTTTCACTGCCCCAATGGGCTGTAACTGTTCATGTGCAAGTGACTCAAGGGAAGTGAACTAATACGTGCTCATAGGTAGCTCAGAGCCTCTTGGATTGAAGTTGTATGTAAATACAGAAGATTTTATAGTTAAAGCAGGGTTTCAAAGCCACAGTACTTTTATCTTGGCATTCCCTAGATACTGCTGAGTGGCTGTCATGCACTGATTCAGTCCAGTTTTTCCCCCGTTTTGGTTAACGTTAAGTCCTAGAACCATAACAACTGAGAGAGACTTTTTGTGGAATGGTGTATTTAAACACATACATATGTATTAAATTTTGTGGCCAGAAGATTAAAGTCGATCTCTGCTTTTTTGCACCTTAATTTATTTGTGGGCACGCTTTATTGCCAAAAATTGATATATTAGGCAGTTATTAATTTAGGTAAAACAGAACTGCTTTCACAAATAATTGTGGTAGAAAAAAATAGTAAGATTTACAAATATAAGAATGGGGATAACAGGTTGAGCTCTAGCTGAACATCTAATGTGGTATATTTAATATTAGATACTGTGTGTTTCATAGTGCAGTATAAACACTAGATAAGGTAGGCCTAAAAATTATCCTAGAGCTCTCTGCCATACGCCAGAGCACCCTACTAATTGCAAAAGACTCATGGCCTTCTGACTGACCTAAAATCTCGTGTACCATTTGCTTTGGCCAGGACGATGTAGCAGCAGATCCTGCCTGTATGGGAAATTTATTATGCTGGTTCCAGCCATTTCCCTGTTCACACATTTCATGGCTCCTCCTCTCCCTCATCCTACTACTGCCAAAAAGCACTGCATTGCAAGGCGCTCTGCCTGCCCTTCTTGGGCCTCCCAGGCTGGGCTCTTTGGCAGGCATTGCCCCTGCTCACTCTCTCTTTTCCTTACCAGCCACATGATGGAAAAAAACAGTGTCAGAAAAGAACAAGGAAGGAGAGCAGGGCCAGGGAGAGAGGGCGGATCACATTTTCCTAAGAAATTTCCTAATTTTCTTATGCCTCTTCAGACTGCTGTAGTGCCTGCCTGTTGGCAAATCCCAGAATCGGGGGTCTTTGCACACAGTTGGTAGCCTTGTTTCACCCACATCACACCATTGGACACCTGATTCAAGTGTGGTGGCTTCCCAATCAGCAGCAGTGTAAGAAAAGGAGGAAAAGCACATGAGGTCCCTGCCACGAGGAACTCACATCTAGGCAAGCTTGCTATGAGTGAGATATATAACCGTCCCATACTCCCGGCAATAAATGTTTAATAGCACCCCACAGAGTTGTCGTCAGTCATTACATATGGTACAAATCAAGTTACGTGTTCTACTAGCCGGCTCAGGAAGCCCACAGACAGCATGGCAGTGGAGGGGAACAGGAATCGCATGTAGCACAGACGCCAGTGCAGGCAGGGATCTGTCCCTGTATCTTGCCTGTACATATACATGCAACCTATAGCTATAGAGCAGGGCTGGCTCAGAGTCACTAAACCCAATTTTGGTTTGCTACCAGTGCTAGTTTAACCCAAATAAGCAAAGGCTGCAAGTTATGATCACAGGGTCATCTGTGGATTGCAGAGAAATCCATTAAATCAGATGTTCCTTAGCAAGAGACAGCACTCAGCTGAGGATGCCAGTGGGAAGGCAAGGAGACTAGGATTGGTTCATGGACTCCATTTGGTGACCTTCACAAGGTGGGATGTGCAACAAGTAACCCACCAAACAAAGGACATAGGTAGGTTCTGCGGGTTTAGATACTGACAGTGGCACCGAGCCATGGTGGTGCAGATGTGGTATCATTTGCCCTTGAGTGTCTACCAGAAGAAGATAAACACATGTTTCGTTTTCAGAAGGTTCCTGCTAGTAAAGAGTCAGATTTGATGTTATTTAATAATTCACATGAAATGCTACAAATTGCAAGATTAATATGCGGTTCCTTGTATTCATGGCAGTATTCCTGTAATATTGGTTTCCTGTTCAAGAGACTGAAGAACAAAATTGCAATTTTCATGCATGACCCTCAGCCTCCCATATTCTAATATTCATTGTGTCCTAGAAATCAATTAAGAGACTACTGTTGTGCTGTTGTTGTGTGTTTTGAAAAGAAGAAAAATAAAACTTAATTTATCCTGCGCCTGATTAGTCTGTGGTCAGAAGACATATTCCTATATACAGGGAAATTATGTCAATAGTTGTGTACTGTTGGTTCATGACCCAGCTTTGCAGCTGAGGATTCTCAGCTGCCAAAAGGTCAAAAGAGAAAGGAAATATTTTTTGAAATAATGTTGCATGCATTTCCCTGAGGAGCATCAAGTGTGAAAACCATTTAAACAGCAGGCTTATGCCTGGCATTCAGCCCAAGTTTCAGGTAGAGACATCTGGATCCCATTCTTGTTTTGCCTTCTTAATAAAAACCACTACACAGTAGTTTTGGGCAGTAGGGGTTTTGTTTCTTCATTTCCTTCCTCATCTTTGTTCTTACACAGATTACATTGACGGTGAGGGAGACTGGAGCCCATGGTCTCTTTGTAGCGTCACCTGTGGGAGTGGCAATCAGAAGCGGACACGGTCCTGCGGGTACGCCTGCACTGCCACTGAGTCACGGACCTGTGACAGGCCCAACTGCCCAGGTGTGACCATGTTCACGTGAGCTGCTGTCAGGTGAACTGCTGTCAGAGGGGAGCGGGGAGAGGTGGTCGGGAGTGCGGGGAGCCCTCTAGTACACAAAGCCCAGGGTCCGTTTGTTCCCTGGCTAGGTAAGTGTTGCGTTGGGAAGAGACATGCTGGTTCTCAAGGCCATTTGTGAAATGGCAAGTTCTTTGCTAGTAATAATATGCTGCTAGATGCAGTCTGCTATCCCCTGGGACTTAAAAGACAAATACAGGCTTTTTTTAGGTTACAGCAGTCATTTTTGTGGACAGGATATTTTGTATTCCAAAGGGTGCAATCTGTTTTTATGAAACAAATTTATATTAATTTTAGAATTTCAAAACAGCCCTGCTGACTGACTGTTACCTCAGTGAGCTCATGTGTTGCTGTGCAGTGACTGGGCATGCCTGTGTTGTGAACAAATAGCTCCCCCCCAGTTATATGGCTTTTAAGTTCTGTGCCTAATGTATACAGAGTTGCTTTAAGACTACATATGTATTAATGTGAAAAAAATACTTTAAATACCTGCTTTGAAATTTCAAAATTTCTTCTCCTAGAAAGTCAGTGTTAATGTGGAAATGTTGATGTGGAAATGTCATCTCTGTTTCATTACATGTTGCTTGATAATTAGAGAATTATCGAACAGCTGTGCACAGTGGGATGAAAGAATATTTAGTTTGGGCTTGAATGTACTCAGATAATATGGCCAAGGAGCCTTACATTGACATTCAAATGCCAGTAACAGGGGTGTCCTTACTGTCATACAGTTTTTCCATTGGTGAAAGTAGGGCTGAGCACTCAAATCTATGTCATAAAAATGTAAAGCTGCTGTGGAATACTGTCCCATGATGTTCTTGAAATGCTGCTGTGTGTTTGGATTTAGGCAAGTTTGTGATACAGTAATAATGCAGTAGTTGCCACAATGCATGGGATATGTGCGATTTCGTTACTTCCAAAGATCAGAAAGAAGTAAAAACACGTGCTGTGGTGGTGTGCATTTCACTGAGTTTGCTTAATGACTCAGAAAGGCTGAAGTTCTTAAACTGGAGGTCATTTTTTTCTATGGGAAGTGAAATATCAGCAGTGCTAAAAGAGATGATTTAGGAGCCTCAATGAGAGAATTGGATATCTCACTCACAAATGGATGCGTGCATCCATTGCGAGGTAATGGTGGCTACGCACTTCAGGAGAAAAATGTTTCTGGATGCTCTCATACATCCTAAAACCTCAATAATAAGGGGTTAAATCCAGAAGAAAGCATGTAGCCCCCAGTTGCGTCCTCCAGTATTTATTTCCAGCTAGCATCAAACAGTGGCAAACTTGAAAGGATATATTATGTCATATAACAGACCCCCAATGATCATAAAGCAAAATATATTCACTCTTTGAGGCTGTGCTGACATTTTCAAAATTATAAGGGCAAGGCTCAGCTTCTGCTGTTTATAATTCCAGCAGTGAATTACTGCTTTGTAATGGGTTCTTGGGTATCTATTATTCTGCATCTACTGCTGGAGTTAAGGTAAAACCCAATGATAATTTTATTGAAAAGTAGCCTGAGCCTGAGCCTGTTTTGAAGCTTTGCAAGCCACAGTTACACCCCAGTTCAGGAGATCCGGAGAAAGTTCATTGGCAAGAAGATGGATAGTGAGCAGACTTCATTATTAACCATATAGTTATCACATATTAAAGAGCTTTCTGCTCTCTTTGGAAGTCTTTAATTCAATGGAGAGGAAAAAAAAACAACAAACCTGTTCAAATGCTTCCTTGAAGAGACATTTCAACTCATCTCAGAAGAGTTTTAAGGCTACATGGCACATTAGGGAAACATTAGGCTCATAGGCCAAACTAAAGCAGCAAGGAAAGTATGTTTACTTTGGCAAGATCAATTAATACATTTTCTGGCAATCCATGTTTCTCTGTACTGATAGCAAACACTTAACTGGAGGTTGCTGGAAGACCCTCTTATTTGAAGATCCTGATAGTTTAAGATCCTGGTATTTTATTTGATTGCTATAGGTGATGGGGGAAGGGAATTATTGGAGAGGTTATTTATCTCTCACCTATTCACAACTTTCAACTCCCTAGCACTGGGAGAGACCAACAAGCGCCAGCCCTCTTGTAATAGCATCATTCTTCCTCATGCTTCCTCAAAAATAGTTCCCTACATATGGATATGAACTTACTCACCTGTTTCCAGGCATATTGCTCTGTTTTAGAAAGTGGGACAAAGGCTGTCTCCTTTAGACATCACTTTTTACCCAGGGCTTTATAGTTTTCATTGGGACAATTGTTTTTATCTTGTAAGTCACTGATGACACATGCTCTGGAGAAGATGCTGGTCACATAAAGCTGACCAGGCAGCTGTTGAAGTGTGTGCAAAGCTCCCACTTGAATTACTGGGAGGTGCTGGCAAGCCTTGCATAGGGAAGAGGAGAAACAAAATTGGTTTCCTCGCCACTGTCTCTGCACTGGGTTCAAAGCTGACCAGTTTGTTGCTTGAATATAATCTAAGCTCTGAAACTTGAGGACTTTTGACCTTTGGGCTGATGCTTTATCTTCCTAACACCACAAATTCCTTTGTCTGTCATTTGAAAATTGTTTGAATTTGTTACACTTTTAAATGAACACTGCCTCCAGCAGCAACTTCAGATTGCTTCCCTGCCAGACAAAAGCACCTTACAGAACTGGGGAAGGAGGGGATGGCAGGGAGGCAATTGATTGCATTGTGTTTTAGTAGGAAAACACGACCACCACTAACACGTGTTTGTCTTAGGGATCGAAGATACCTTCCGGACAGCTGCCACAGAAGTGAGCTTACTTGCAGGAAGTGAAGACTTCAATGCTACCAAACTCTTTGAAGTTGGTAAGCAGCCTAGTCAATCTGTCAGTAATAGATAAGAGAATTCCTTAGCTTTTCCTGGTTTGACTCTTGCTGCAGGACCAAGATTTTGAGTTTACCATTAATAGTGTCAGTAGTAATGGCCATTTGTTATCTTGCTGAAGATATGATCTGAACCTTAGCTTGCTTCTGTCATAGAATCTTTCTCTCCTTGAGTCTTAGCAAATTTCTGTGCTTCTTTCATTATAAAATGGTGATTCTCTGTCTTACTACAGAAGAGAGCTGTAAGTCTCCACACTCATGGCGGGAAGAAAATCAAACACAGTTTAGCATTTTGCTAAAATAGTATCAAATGGAAGACACTGTAAAAGCATTTTAGGTACAGCTGTCACATTTTAAAAAGACAATTACTTTCATGAGCATGCATAGCTTTTGTAACTGTGTGTGCTGCAGTGGGGCTAGCCAAAGCAACTTTATAGGGCATGGCTTGGTACTGATCTGTCTAAAACTCAGCTCAGCCTCTATAATGATCTGATTTCATCGTCTAATGAAACCATAATGTGGCCACTCCTAGGCACAGGATGCTGGACTAATTGGATAAATAATGTAATCCAGCACCTCCCTCCAATGGTGGTGAGCACAATAGTTAATGACAGCTGGGATAGAACTCTCTAAGAAGATAGAAAAACAGGACACAGATCACTAAGTAAATATTTTGCAAGAATGTTTGCTGTAAGGGTTTTAGGTCCCAGTCTTTGCCTTACTCCAGAGTCCTGTTAAGTAAGTGTGCAGCAAGATGTGCAGGTTTTTTATGAAAGCCCATAGTATGATACAGACACATTAAATACTGTTTTAGGTGTGAAACGTTTAACTGGATTGTTCCAAGACTCTTGCAAAATAATAAAGTGCCAGTATTAAATATGCTACTAGTCTATTTAATCCCAGCTATAAGTCATGGCTCTGGTGCCGTTAAATCCTCCTAATGTACAGACACTCTTGATACTATGTCACATTTGCCATTTTAGAATCTGAATCACTTTTGGCTGCATTTGCCAGCTAAGATGTCAGTCTCCATGTTTGAGCTGCATCTGCTTGGAATACCCCTTTGGGAAGATGGAGATCAAATAGCAAAAATAAATTTGTTAGTTAAAAGAAAGACTGAATTAGGACTTAATAATGAACTTCAGAAAAAAGTAAACCAGGCTTTGCTTGCCATCTTGGTATTTTTGCCATTATGAGAAACTTAATCCTTCAGCATCTCAATCTGCTATTCTTACAAGGTGAGCTTGTAGACTAGGGCTTCAAACTGTAAGCTGGAATCAAATCACTGTGATTTCCCTGTATCAGTTCTGTCACTTGTAAACCTGTGACAGTATCTCTTGTGCTGCATGAGGATATCAGCAGCTTAACTAGAATTTGCCAGGTGGAAGAGATGTCAAAGATTCTTGTCAAAGATTCTTACTATAGGTGCTGCGCTATAATTCAGGCTAGCACTGCCTGAAGCCCTAAAGCCAATCGCAGGTGTGATTTCTTTATCTGACAAGACAGCACATTAACACATTGCAGGCAGGGAAGCAATCTTTGCCCGCCCTTAAGCTAAGCACTGGTGCTGAACAGTTAGGCTTTACTCACTTGTTATCACTGATCATTCAAACCGGGATGCTGCCTAATCTATCTAAAGTTTCCATTTCCTGCCCTTAAACAGATACTGATAGTTGTGAAAGATGGATGAGCTGCAAAAGCGAGTTCTTGAAGAAATATATGCACAAAGTGGTCAATGATCTTCCCAGCTGCCCATGCTCCTACCCCAGAGAAGTTGCATACAGCACTGCTGAAATCTATGATCGAATTAAGAGGAAAAACTTCCGCTGGAAAGATGCAAGTGGTCCAAAGGAAAAACTGGAGATCTATAAGCCCACTGCACGGTACTGCATCCGCTCCATGCTCTCTTTGGAAAGCACAACGCTTGCAGCACAGCACTGCTGCTATGATGATAATATGCAGCTGATCACCAGAGGGAAAGGGGCAGGTACACCAAACCTAATCAGTACCGAATTCTCAGCAGAACTCCATTACAAAGTGGACATTCTGCCTTGGATTATATGCAAAGGTGACTGGAGTCGATACAATGAAGCACGGCCTCCAAACAATGGGCAGAAGTGTACAGAAAACCCTTCAGATGAAGACTACTATAAGCAATTTCAAGAAGCAAGGGAATACTGAGATTTTCCTCCTCTTGAGACAGAAAATATCATTCATTTCCTGGATGTCTAAGAACTGATAACGGCTGCTGCATTGCCTCCTTGATCAGGAGTTGATCAGTTTCTTTCTAATGAATGTATATAGTTGTAATATAATACATAAGTATTTTTCTTAGTGTGTGTAATTTATAAACATATATCTCTCTATCTCTGACACACACCTATTTTTATGTACAGACATACATAAAACTTGTCCTGGTAGGATTTTATACTGCAATAAGGTTCATTTAATAATGTGCATTTCATTTTATTCCCCAACTATAACACTGGTGGGGGGGTGGGGGAAGCTGCCATCTTCATCAGGCCCCAAGACCCCAGCTGAGGAGGGCACATATTTAGAAGTTATTATAAACAATAGGATCAAAGAATATACTCTTCCATGTGGGAATGGTTTACAAGAGTAATGCACCTACAGCATCAGTTTTCTCTGTAATTGATTTCATGACTAGTCATAACTAAGAAAGGGAGAATTTTTTTGGAAGGGTAATACAAGTGAATATAGACAGTTACTAGCAATTTTTTCTTTAAAATCTTCCTGTTACCTTCTAGCTCAGGTCTTTGCAGGCCATCTGGGGTAGACTTGCAGGGAGACATAGTTGTGGTTTTCCTACAGAGCAGACATCCTGATGCACAAGTTTTGCAAGAGTTACAAACAGCCCACTCCCAGAGACATCTCAGATCTGGAGCAGATCTTCAGGGCAGCCACCTGTAAACTAAGCATGCCATAAGTCTTTGGAGGAGTGAGACCAGAGAAGGAAACCATATCAAAAGAAAAAATAAAAATCACAGTTAATTCCCAGTTTTTAATATAAAGGGTGTTTAGATCTACTTGTTTCTTTCTTTTAAGAAAATAAAGAAGTTTGGTTTTTTTTAAAGATCAGGAAGAGTGGAATACACATTTCTAAGGTTGCTGAGATAGAACATGCAACCAACTCTTTTCCCCCCATTTATCACATGCTGAGTGCACAATGTCCTACACAAGAAGCCGTTCTTTAAGGAAGCTGTCTGGGAGGAACTGTTGGTGAGTTAAAATGTCTTAATTTTTAAAAAATCTAGTATTATTTTTGTAAAGTATTTATTGAATTGTAACAATAGCTCACATGTGGGATATGTCTGTAACGTGAAAGGCTGCTGTAGATGGAACTTGTTTGCCAAGAATAAGACTGTTGTTAGGCAAAGGTTTTACTTCCAAATTTTTATAAAGTCCAAGTTTACATACATGATCCTGTAATTCAGCAGCTGATACCTGCATTCTTATGAAAGATAAAAATGACACCATGGGTAAATAAATACAGTTCCATCCTGTAAAAGGCTGTCTTGCTGCAAGTCATTGTCTTCGTTTGGAAAACTAAGGCTCAGTGTCACTAGAGAAATGCCTGTTTTCGGGTTATGTGGTCTAATAGACACATGTGCACTGCATGTGGAACCTCACAGAGCAGTACAGCCGACTGTGCATTGCAGTCAGTCTTAGCTGAAAGATTCAAGACATCCACAAAAGACAATTCCTTCTGCTATATAAGTACATACTGTAAATCTTTTCTCTAGCCCTGTTTGCCTTTCAGGTGCCGGTTTATTGAGACTTCCTGGACAGATGTGTGCATGGTCCCGCAGCATTAACATATGCATAACGAGCCCACTGAATCTAGGCAGTGTCAGACTTGTGTTGGTCTGCCCAGGTGGTGCAGATCAGGAGATTAAAAGGAGCCTGGGCCTTGGACACCCACTCTGACCAAACATGGGGTGTGTACACTGCGCAGGCTCTCTCTGGATCTGCCAGACCTACTCTGACAGGCTGCAGAGCCTCACCTGCAGAGCTCCAAGTTTCCAGAAATGCAGCAGTGCAGGCAAAGCTACTGCACATAATGCAATAGCAACTGATTTGCTGAGGTAACTCCAGCAGCTGGAAATCTTGGCCAAGTTATCAGATCTTCCCAGATGCAGGCTGGAGCCAGAGGTTTGGGGAGACATGGATATATTCTAGCACTAGCTAGTAGTAACAAAACATGGTTAGTTGAGCAAGATGGTAAACATGGGAATCGCCCCTTAATTTTTATAGAAACCAGGTTTTGTAAATTCTTGCAAGGTCAGAAGAAGGAGCCACTAGCTAGCGGAGCCAGTTAAATTGACAGCAGACGGATGAAAGGCATAAGCAGCTCCAGGATCAGTCTAGGGAAGACAGGTATTTTCTGCAACATGGGGAAGAAAGCTTTTTACTTCAGTTAGCAGTGGGGGGACAACAGTCTCAGGTTTCTCTGGGAGGGTGATGAGAGAGTGGTAAGAGTTCTTGAAATATAAAACACATCCCTGCAGTTTATGGATTAGTAAATTACGGTGCTATTGAAAAGTGCTACTACACCATTAATACAGAACATAACAAATAAAGTGTCAGGGAAGAGGAAAAATTATTCTAATAAATGAAATGACGCACAGAGTTTCAAGTGTTACCACTTACAATAAGCAATGGTCTTTATTAAAAATGAAGTCAATCCTATTTTATAATAAATTATTATCCATTCAGGGCTGGGCTGCTTTTTTTCTCTTGTACTTTCTTTATCTCCTTTCCAATGACTAAAATTGTTCCTGGAATGACTTTGTGTAGTAGTCTTCAGAGAGGTACTGGTGTTTACCGTAGCAGATTTGGCTCAGTCTCTTAAATATAGAGCTCTTCATATTAGAATGAGACCTGAGGAAGGGTTTGTGGTCTTGCATTCCCAGGCACAGGTCAGTAGTTAGGAGAAGCTGTTGTTACATTTCTAAGTAAGCACAGAAGAGGCGTATTTGAAGACCCAACCAGAGATATGAGGGGGATTGAAACAAGCAGAACTAAGCAGTGCTCATGGTCTCAACACTGAGAAATCCTCAGAGAGTCTTCCACTGGTAGCCATCCTGCTTCCCAAAAGGAAACTTAAAATACAGACTTTACAGCAATGTCTCCATATTTGGAGCAGTTCCATTCACCTATTTCTCATCAACAAATCCAGAGTAGGGTGTTTTCACCTCCTGGCTTCTTGTTCCCCTGCACTACCTTTCTCTTGAGCAAGCACAGCTGTTGGTACAGCAAAAGGTCCAGTCAAGTCATCCAAGTTCTTTTGAACCCATATCAATCAACAGATACAGATTACAGATGGCTGAAGTGCCTTAAACTGGCACTGCTGCTAAGGAAGATGTGTAGAGCAGAGCTCTGAGGGAGCCGTAAATGGATTTGAATGCGTACTTTTGATTGTTAAAAGGATGAGTGAGCCTGGCTTCACAGTGCCCAGACAGCTGCTGAGTAGCAAAATTCAACTAACACAAGCCACAGTGATGCATATGGGTTATAGGACAATATAACAAAAAAACAAAAACACTCACAAATTCACAAATCCCCACAGTTCTGTATTAGTTACCAGCTGCATTCCGCCCCCCTGCTGTGCAAAATGGTTAGCACTGTCAACACATTCTTTCAAAAAAAATGGTAGTGAGTTCATAGGACTGCCTTTGCCATATATCGTGTTTTCACTGAGGTCGTAGGGTTGGCTGCAATGAATAACTGAGGCACCTGACACCTTTGGTTGAGTGGGGTCAGGAACATTGAAGGTGGGAGAGTGGGAAAAAGAACCTTTCTCAGTTGAAGACTCTGCTGCTTCATGGCAGGGGATTGTAGTGTTGTGAGCCATTCAGCGAGGGCATGCCCTACAGACCACAAAGAGCTCCTCTGACACAGCCTCTCACTTGTGGTGGTTGCAGAATCATATAATCATTTGATTGGAAAAGACCTTTCAGATCATCGAGTTCAACCATAACCTGTCCTGGTCTCCATGCTTGGCAGAAAGAAGGCAGCAAGGGAGTGCCAACACCTTGTGACGCTGCCTCAGGGACCTGCCTGAGCCTGAGGAACAGCCAGTGCCTCCACAGGTCCCCTCTCCCTTGTTTCCCTTCCTGCTTTCTCCATCAAGGTGCCCCTGGAGCTGCCCAGCAGCTGGCGTGGCTTGCTGCAGTGGGTACATGCTGGGCGGCACTGCCTCAGCTTACACTCAACAGCACAGAGTCACACATTCATCCATCCTCAGAGGAAATTACTAAAGTTCGGGCTGGACAAACCACAAAAACCCTTCCCAAACCTGGCAAGTGCCATTGCTACCAGGGTCAAGAAGATGGCAGGGCAGGGAGCCCACACACCCGAAGTTACCCTACAGACCCCATACAGCCACCTGCACACTTATCTGACACCACATGAGGCGCGATGGCCTGCAAAGCTCTCTCTTTTAAACCAGATGTGGAAGGCTGCAAAACAGTGGTGGATAAGTTTGGATCGCTTTATGCTCACTGCACGCACCTGCACAGGCCCAGGAATGGCCGTGACCATCCTTGCCTTACAAACGGAGCCCAGAGCGCTTTGGAGAGAGAGGGCATGTGCAGGCAGAAGACGAGCAGTAAGCACCAAAGATGACATTTTTTTCCAGCAAACTGGTGTGTGTGTATGTGTGTGTGTGTGTGTGTGTGTGTGTGTATACGCGCGTGCGCAGTGCTGCATGGCAGTTATGCGACAGCTGAGAGAGCATGTGTTTTTCTATCACTAGTTCCCCCCTCCTTTCCCTTTGTAACTTTTAATGGAAAAATGTGTGGGCAGTTTCCATTATGCCTGCACTGTTTCAGACAAATTAAGAGGTTGGCTAAGAAATTACTGGTTTCATATTTCATGCAAAATATATACACATGCATGTATTTATAGATCTCTGTAAATTAATTTAGGATATCCTCTAGTCGTGCACTTTAAAGCAGTACTTTGCAGAGCGTAGTGTCTGCAGGAGCAGACTTACAGAAGATCAGTTCCTTTTGGCCTGCACCAGGGGATGAGGCTATTTTTGCACTTGCATGGAGGGGAGAAGGATTGGGAGGCTGCACTGGCAGGCGCCATTCTGCAGCTGTGCCTT